TTCTTGATTCTTGCTTGTCCAATGGGATCTATGGGCATAGCTCAAGGAAATGAGTTGTAGGCATGCATGAGGTGTGGACATGAAATATATACCCATCAAGAAGTCCCTCATTTCTGGTGCATGATTGTGACTCGAAGAGGGGCCACATTAAATACTTGTTGTGAAAAAACTCGTGAAAACATATTAAACCGGTGCGAACCGTAACAAACTTCAAATCAGTGAGGGGATCATGTGGGGTGCGTAATGGGGTACTTAAATACTCTCGGGTTTCGTGCTTTGAAATTAAATAACATACCTCGAGAAAAATATACCTTTTGGGTCAACTTACTCCGAATTTAGATTCGTTTGCACCGTTGGATTTGTCTCGCCAAACCCTACACAACGGTATAACTTTTCTAAATAATTGACAAGTATTTCTAATTAATCCCAGGTCCGTGTCAATAATTAATTAATTAATTCTGATAGGTTAGATTTCGGGGCGTTACAATTTGTGTCGAGTAAAATATGATAAGTATCCTTTTTCAGCACGAGATAGAAAGAATATTTGAATTACTAGAATTAATTCATACGGAGGGCCTGTTTGGGAATAGCGTTACAGATTAGCGTTAGCATTTTGGATAAAATTTTAACGGTGCAGATCGCTTTAAAAACTCTAACGCTAAACGCTGCCCGTAGATAGCTTTTTCAAAACGCTAACGCTAATAGCTAAAGCTGTTCCCAAACAGGCACGGAGTCACCAAGATTTGACTGAAGTAAGAGTGGTAAGTTTTACTATAATTTGTTTAAGGAAAATGATTTGAGATTCACCAAATTTTAATTTTGTAAATTTAAAAATGAAGCTGAGAATATATTTTAGGGAGAAGTTTAGCATTAAGGAGATAAAAAATGAAGACAAGACCCTTTATGAAATCTGGAAGGATTATTAATTATACTCCTGTTAGCATTATGTATATATGTTTATATTGTATTATCGTATATTGGGCCTGTCATGTTGGGCCCGGAACTCTTGTATATATACTTTGACATATCAATGAAATCACCAAGCAATTCAGTTCATAAAATTTTACATGGTATCGGAGCATTTTTCTGGGAAGTTACGTCAAACCCTAGAAGTCGTACGTTTACTGTCGCCGCTGCTCTTCGTCCCGTCACCGTCCGTTCTTCGTCGCCGGGCAGGTCTGTCCCCTTGTCGCCGGTAGTCTGTCTCGCCATCATCACTGTTCAATAGCGCCTCTGTCCGTTAAGTCCAGTCGCTGCCCAGTCCGTCCAGACCGTCGGTGTGCCCAGTCCGTCGCCGGTATTTCCAGTCTGTCGGTAATTCCAACCAGTCGCTGCTCTTCCAATCGTCTGGTAATTCCAGTCCGTCCAGGTTTCGCCGCCAGTTGCAATTCCGTTGGTTTGGTTATTTTTTGGCTAATTGGAATTTGAGTAAATAGTGGGTGTTTGTTGGTTGAAGTGAGTGGTCAATTTGCTACTGGTAATATTTGGTCGCACAAGTATTTGTTTGGTCAGAACAAATATATTAATAATGAACTCTACCTCTTGTGAGTGGTTGATTGATAGTGGTGCCTCTCACCATATGACGGGCACTTTGTCTCATCTGTTTGATATAATGGATGTACCTCCTCGTCCCATTTGTCTACCCGATGGATCTCGTATTCAAGCTACAAAGAAGGGAAGTGTTCGGCTATCTCCTCATTTGGTGTTTCATCATGTTTTCTTTGTTCCTACTTTGCACTGCCATTTAATATCTGTAGGATGCTTGATACGGGATACTCCTTGTCATGTAATTTTTAATGCTCATGGTTGTGTAATACAGGACCGTTCGTCGAAGATGGTGATTGGACAGGGTGAACTAAAGAACGGAGTTTATCACTTTGCTTCCTTTCCTGCGTCGGCCAGTGCTGCTCAAATTGTAGGCAAAGAGGAAGTGGTTGCGAATCCAGTAGGTAGTAGACTATAAAAAAGAAAGAAGTTAAAATTATTTAGGGTTAGACAACAGTTCTTTGAAGTTTGGACACTCTAATGTTTTATGTCCAAACAAACTCGGTCGTCTTTTTCTGTTAGTCATAATAAAGCTCAAGCCGTTTTTGATTTGATTCATTGTGATCTATGAGGGCCATATACTGCTTGCTTGTCATCTGGTGCTCATTATTGTCTCACTATTGTGGATGATTTTTCCAGGGCTGTTTGGGTGTACCTTATTCGTACAAAGAGTGAAGTTACTTCCTGTCTCCAACGGTTTTTCTCAATGATTCACACCCAATACACTAAAGTCATCAAGGTCGTTCGTTCTAACAACGGCACTGAATTTCTAAATACCTCTTTACACCACTATTATGACTCAATGGGTGTGTGTATACAAACTTCATGTGTTGGTACCCCACAACAGAATGGTCTGGTCGAGCGCAAACACCGTCATATTTTAAATGTTGCTCGTTCTCTTATGTTTCAGGCCTCTTTACCCGTTGAGTTTTGGGGGGAATGTGTCAAAACGGCAGTATATTTGATTAATCGTACTCCTACTAAACTTCTTGGAGGTAAATCCCCGTTGGAAATTTTATCTTCAAAGCCTCAAGATTTAAGTCACCTCCGCATCTTTGGTTGTTTATGTTTTGTTCGTCTCAATCCTAAACCCACAAATAAATTCTCTCCTCGTAGTGTCAAATGTATGTTTGTTGGGTATCCTTTCGGTACAAAAGGGTGGCGGGTTTATAATCTTGACACTCATAGTTTTTTTCACACCCGGGATGTCATCTTCGACGAAACTCAATTCCCGTTCGCACGGGGTTGGCAGGTTGATCAGCTGGATGTGAATAATGCCTTCCTGCATGGGGACCTTAGTGACGAGATTTATATGAAGGTTCCTCCAGGTTATACTCATTTATTTCCGGGGAAGGTTTGTCGGTTGCGGAAGTCTTTATATGGGCTTCGTCAGTCTCCCCGGAACTGGTTTGCTAAGCTCTGTCACGCACTTCGCAGCTATGGTTTTCGTCAGGCACATGCTGATCACACTCTCTTTGTTCTGAATCGTGGGCTTGATATGCTTGTGGTTTTGGTCTACGTTGATGATATCCTAGTTGCAGGTAATAATCCATCATTATGTTCTTCCTTCAAGAGGTATCTGGATGATTGTTTTCAGCTCAAAGATCTCGGCCCGGTCTCTTATTTTTTGGGTATTGAATGTGCCCGGAACTCTTCTGGTATGGTCCTTAATCAGCGAAAGTATACTCTTGACATTATTCAAGAGCATAATTTGTCCGGTTGCAAGCCTGCTGAGACACCGATGCCGTGTGCTCACAATCTTGCTCGTTCCACTAGTGCTGCGTTGCGGGATCCGGCGAAGTACCGCCGGCTGGTCGGTCGTTTACTATACCTGACCATTACTAGGCCAGATATTTGTTATGCGGTCCATACCTTGTCTCAATTTATGCAGGAACCACAGTTAGATCATTGGAATGCCGCCTTGCGTGTTCTCCGTTATCTCAAGGGGCATCCGAGACAGGGCATTCTCTTACGCAGTGATAGTGATCTCGCCCTAACTGCCTTCTCCGATTCCGATTGGGCGAGTTGCCCGATGACTCGACGGTCTGTGACAGGTTGTCTTGCTTGGTGGTTCTCCTATTTCTTGGCGAACTAAAAAGCAAACTACAGTTTCACGTTCTTCAGCAGAGGCGGAGTATCGTGCCATGGCTAATGCATGTGTAGAAATCCGGTGGCTCAGAGGTTTACTTGCCGCACTCGCCGTCCCTTGTGTTGCAATTCCTAGACTGTATTGTGACAATAAGTCTGCGCTCTTCATTGCAGCGAATCCAGTTTTTCATGAACGGTCCAAGCACATTGACATTGATTGTCATATTGTCCGGGAGTGTATCCAGCGTGGCCATATTGTTACTGCCTATGTTCCTACACGGTTGCAAACTGCAGATATTTTTACCAAGGCATTACCGGGGCCGCTTTTTCGTTCTCTTTTATCCAAGTTGGGCATTTTTGATGTTCATGCTCCAACTTGAGGGGGAGTGTTAGCATTATGTATATATGTTTATATTGTATTATCGTATATTGGGCCTGTCATGTTGGGCCCGGAACTCTTGTATATATACTTTGACATATCAATGAAATAACCAAGCAATTCAGTTCATAAAATTTTACAACTCCTAACCTCAAATGTTTAATTGTTTTGATGAAATGCCACTAAGAACACCTTGTTTAATTTGAAGAAACATAATGGAATTATTGTTTCTCAAAATGAGTATATATGCTAATTAATTATTGGTAGTTTGTACGTACTTGGGCCGATATTGCATATTCCTATGGCGTATTGAGTTGAATTTAAATCTCTTTGTAATCCATAAACTTGTTTGGGTGGTCCTCCCAACCTTATGGATATACTTTGTGAGGGTGAATACTTGGTCCAAAAGGTGGAATCGCCCACCCCAGGCGCCCCCACCCCCTTGCCCGACAGGAATGGTGTAGGATGTAAATCATGGTGACTCAGTCAGCCAAGAACGCTAGACCCGTGCCCACCGCGCACAAGGAGCCTCCTCACCCTTTATGAGATTTTTGGATAGCTCCCACACTGCCGCTTGCGGGACTCGATCCCTGGTCATCGGTCCAAGATTTCACGCTCTTGACCAACTGAGCTACCCATGCGGGCTTGTGAGGGTGAATACTCTTAATAATATCATAGCCACCTTCTAGTGTAGTAGGTTGCAATAGACTTGATGAAATCACCTACCTAAGTGTGGTGAACCTGTGGCAACTTTATGTGAAACATTATGGACTGTTTTTCAAGAGCACTTATATTATATATTATGAGCATCCCAAGGTTTTTTTTTTGCCAACTTTATGTATCGTCTATCGCAATCAAAGAATACTTCGTATAATCACAATCAAAATCTTTTTTCACTGTAATCGTTTTTCCTCGCTGATCGAGCAATTGCTCCGTATGGTTCCTTCCGCCTTCTGTGGGTGCGCACAGAGGACGGTTCCATGTTAACCTTGAGCGGCGTTTCCTTGTATCGACCGCACTGGTAAAGGCGAAATCGCTTCTAAAGGAGTGGTATTCTATCCACGGCACCGTAGTTCTGAAAATTTAAAGAGCTATTTGAGTTTGGAGTGCTATTTGGAGTACTGCAGCAAATGAACCAAGAACTGATGTTTGAATTCTAAAATTACAATAATCTTTTTTTGTCATTTCACAATGTATTAAACACAATCCCCGGGCATTTAGATCCCACACTGCTCTTTGCCCATTTCATGAATTCCAGCTGGATCTACGCCTGGCAACACGTGTAGTATATTTTAGTCTCCGCAGATAGAGTAATTTACTCTTAAGATTAACTTTTAGGTTATCAAATAAGGATATTAATCACGCGTACAATAATTAAAAGATGAACTTCATCTAAAGATACTCCCTATTTTTTTAAAAAACACATCCTCTTTTTTTTCCTAAAAGACTTCTACTTTCTATTAAAAACAACCAATTTTACACATATTCTTTTACCTTATCTATCACATCGTACATTTTTTCACTAATAATTTACCTATCACATTTACTTTCCCCATCATATCAAGAACAAAATTTAAAAGTCAACCATAAATACAAACATCTTATTTCTCCTAAAAGTCAAAATAGAAACTGTTTTATGAAACGAAGGAAGTACTCAATTAAACTTTAACTTTTTAGACTATTAAGCTCTGATATCCGCATGAATTGATGAATGAGTTTCTTGCATCATTTACCCTGAACTTTTAAAAAATTGCACGAATTGACCCCGAACTTTAAAACATTGAACCAATGCCTCAGGAGCTTTAAAAAAAGTTGCACTGATGGTCCATGTGTGTCAGATTTAGAAGTGCATTAACCATTAACCACACGTTCATCAATATACGTGTTGGATGACGAGCTTTTATTGACTAATGTTCGGCGTTCGAATTCGATTACCGATTACTAAGTTGAGAGTAAATATCTAAAGTTTAAAGAGGTTAAAAATATACTCCATCCGTCCTGAAATGTTCTTTCCACTTACTATTCACACGGTCAAACTTTAATCATTTTCTTTACTTATTTTCATCAGGTATTTGATAAAATAATATATTCTTGTCACCACTTGTTTTGTAAAACTTTTGATGTAGTTTTTAAATATATAAATTTTATTTTTTAATTTTACACCTACAATTAAATAAATTGAATTAAAAATAAAGTCGGTCAAACTTCGTAAACATAACTGGGAAGAACAGTATAGGACGGAGGGAGTAAAAAATAATGTTTGGAAAGGTCATTATATTGCAAACTCATTTGTGATATTCGAAGTATGAGTTTATATAAATCTATGTTTGCACTGGATGAGTGTTTGATTAAAGCACTCTCAAACCTGGACAGAGACATCAATGGTACAACACTTTTAAAAATTCAGGGAAAATTAGTGCAAATTTTAAAGTTCAGGACAAATCCATACAATTATTATAAAATCAAGAATAAGTTGCACAAAAAAAAAACTTTTAATGGTGATTTTGTTCCATTGGCATCCGCATAAAAGCAACCAAGTACAGAGAATATTACCTTGATGAATTGATCCAGAGTGGATGGTCGATCATAATCGTCCTCGTATTGATTTTTGTTACAAACATTTGGTCTTTGCTGCTGATGAACTGACAATTCAGACTTTATTGATGTTTGAATGTCCAGCATCAAGTCATCACATGTATTATCACCAGATGACCCATAGTCAAACACTTCCGACTGACCTAAAATGTGCATATAACAATTGTAAGAAGTCAATTTAATAAAATACTCTAAGACGGATCAAGTATATTCTTTAACATAAAGTAGACTAATAAAAGAAAAAGTAACTTAGGGTCCGTTTGATATACGGAATTTATAGAATTGGAATTTAAATTCAATGCGATTCAATTCTATAGAATTAAATTTACCAATTCCAATTCATATTTTGCACTATCAATTCCAAATTCACATTATATTTGAGTTACCAAGCACCAGAATTGGAATTGAAATCCTTAATTCTAATTCTATAGTTTGAATTCCGTTTACCAAACGAGGCCTTATTATTATTTAAAAAATTGGAGTAACAAGAGTAAGAGTAGATCGTTATTATTAAAAAATGGAGTTATATAAAGTATAATTCAATTGTACTCCGATCCCTTCGTTCCTTTAAACACTTTCTCTTTTGACTTTAGGCCAAAATTAGAAAACTGTAATTTTCGTTGATTTTCCAATTTTGCCCCGGATGTGATGGATAAAAGTAAGATTTGATGGTTTGGTTATTAGTGAAAAAAAGTATGATGTGATATGTAGGATATGAAAAAGTAAATGTAAAAGCGAGTTTTTAATAGAAAGTGAATTGCTTTAGAAAATTGGAAAAAAACGAAAAGAAAAGAGTTTTATGGAACGAAACCAGTATAAAAAATAGAATGTTCCTCATATCTACTTATTATACAGAGTAGAAAATTAAAAAAAAAATCTTGCATGGACTAACAATAAAATAAAGGACAAATCGTACAATGCTTACATGAATTGAAAAACTCTTTTTGGAACTTTTAAAGTTTAAGGACAAATCCTCTTGACACATAGACAATGTTTGGTTCAACACTAAGTTTGGTTCAAGGAATTACGAACGAAAAAAATAAAAATGACTTACTTTCATTTTCCTCACCAAAATGGAAGGAATTTGGTTTTTCTTTCTCCTAGCATATTTTATTTTTTCATTTTTTCCATCTACTTTTCTTTCATTTTTCTCTCTAACCAAACAAGAAAACTATTTTCCATCTTAATATAGTGTAAGGAAATTGAAAGAAAAAGAAAAGAAAATAATTTTTCCTCACCAAAATGGGAGGAATTTTGTTTTTCCTCATCTTAACACATTTTGCATTCCTATTTTCTTTTCTTTCTATTTTTCTTTTTCATTTCCTTTCTAACCAATCAAGAAAAAATATTTTTCTTTTCATTTTCTCTTCATTTCTTTCTAAAATTCGTTGAACCTGATACAATTTGATAATAACTTGTCTTATTGAATATTGAGAGATATGGCCCTATATATAGGGAATACAAGAGTAATCAAAGTACAAGTAGGAAAGGAAAGAAGTATCCTAATTTAATTATACTTCATAATATCCCCCCGCAAGCTGATCAACGGAGACGAAGGGGATCTTGGAACATAAGTACTCAAAAGGAACTGGCGGAAGCGGTTTGGTAAGAATGTCTGCTAGCTGTTCTGAGGAGGAAACATGATGTGGAGTCATAGTGCCTGCCATAACCTCATCTCGTACAAAGTGACAGTCTGTGCCCACATGCTTCATGCGATCATGAAGAACCGGATTTTTGGTGACACAGATAGTCAACTCACTGTCACAGTATAACTTCGGTTTGGACGGAGGAATACCTAGTGCATCAGTGATATATCAAAGCCACATAGCTTCTGCAACCCCTGCAGCCATAGCTCGATATTCAGCTTCAGTGGATGATCTAGAAACACGAGTCTGCTTTTTCGTGCACTAAGAGATGATATTAGGACCGAGTAGGAGTATGTAGCCCGTGGTAGACTTGCGATCATGTTTATCATTGGCCTAGTCAGAGTCAGAGTAGACAGATAGGTCGAATCCCCCCTTGCGAAAGAGAAAACCATGATTCAAAGTGCCTTTGAGATAGCGCAGAACGCGTTGCAAGGCATGATAGTCCTGCTCAGTGGGGTTGTGCATAGTCTGAGACACTCGATTAACAGCATACTAAATGTCTGGACGAGTGACAGCCAAGTAATGTAAACCGCCAACAATGCTCCGAAAATGAGAAATATCCTTGAAAGGAAACGAAGGCTTAGTGATAGGTCTCGTAGCCATAGGAGTAATAGCCGGATGACAGTCACACATCCCTGCTCGGCGTAGAAGATCACAGGCATATTTGGACTGATGGAGAAGCATAGAATCTTGCGTGCGCTGAACCTCAATGCCAAGGAAGTAATGAAGAGGTCCAAGTTCTTTGAGCTTGAAGTCACGGTGCATGGCCTGAGTAACTTCTGAGATGAGAGTAGAAGAGCTGCCAGTGAGAACAATATCATCAACATAGACAAGGACAACAATAGTCCCACGAGAGCAGTGTCTGGTGAACAAG